TGCATCTGGTTCATGTGGGTTCAGCCTTCTTCAGACTGGGATTTGAAAAGCACGGAGCTAACTCACGGGCTCACAGAGCAGATGGTGAGCCTGCGCTACAGACTGGGCCTCAGAGTGTGGCAGCAACAGGCCCAGAGTTCAGGCAACGCAGGTTCTGCAGGAGGCCGCACTCCCTCCCATGCCCAACTTCCCAAGCCATGCTCTCCTGCAGGGACCTGTGTCCCCATCCCGCCCCCCACAGGAAAGGATGACTTCACCCATTGGTGCTGCCACCCAGCCTAGCAAATAGAGGCTTGTCCTCAGACCCTTCTGTGACCCTTGGGCAAGTTGGTGCATTTTCCTGAGCCTTGGGCCTCTCCTCCTGTTTTGAGATTATGCAATTTAAGAGAGGTACTCAATAACTGACAATCATTGGTAGCACACTCTCTCTGTCTCTTTGGAAGGGAAAGTTTAGGAGACACAGAGGGGATAAAGATTTGGCTCCACCTGCTTGATGCTCATAGCCTGGTGGGGAAGACAGGTGCTCACACTGTGAAGATAACACAAAGGAGGTTGATAATAGAATCACCAGAATCCAAAGTGGGGGGGGGGGCTCTGTGAAGGGGGGCATCTTTTGCAGCTAGAGATGATGATGACGATTTTGGTGTTGCTAATAATTATCACTGGAATAATAATAACGATGCAATGAAAATAGCCAAGGTTAACTAATTACTGCCTTCTATGGGACAGGCCCTGTGCGAGGAACTTCCTCCGCTGTGCCTCTAGTCCTTCGGACAAGGCCGTTAGGTGGACAGCATTATTCCATGTTACAGGTGTGTGGTCCTTAGTGGGTCCATGGAGCACATCACCTGTACACTGAACTTAGCGTGGAAGCTTGGGTTTTGGAAAGCTGAGACTCCGGAAAAAAGATTGTGGGGCAGAGGAAGGTAAATGGTGGACATGCTCAGGGAATGGGCATACTTGGGGAAAACCAGAGGTTCTGAGGTGAGGAAATAATGAGAACTTGAGTGGGAGGGTGTGGGAGGAAGAAAAAGGTTGGATGGTGGGGCTGTGACACTGAAAGCTGAGAGTGAGGGAGCCACCCAGAGGCCGACTGTCAGTTCAGGTGTTGCCCAGGAGCAGAAAATAGGAAACCAGAACTTGGAGGGGAGTGCCATCCAGGACTGTGCTGAGCTGCCTTCTTTAATGCTACTGCATCCCTGGGCGCTGACTGAGACTCAGAGAAGTAAAGCAGCCATGGACATAGCTCTGGCCATCCGACTTGAATAGTATTGTCTTATAAATTAACAAACACACAGGGTTTTTGTATTTGGATTGATTTTTTTTCTGGGCTAATGATGATTTAAAAAAAATTTACCAAGTTATCTTATATACTCAGGGCCAACCTTCCCACAGTGGCAACATGGAAAGGTATGTGGCCTTGAGCAGGTCCTTGTCCTTTTCTCATCCTCAGTCCCTGTAGACTCTCGTGGTCCTGCTCAATTTGACGTTCTGTGATTTCTCCTCCACCCATTGACTGAAAGGAATACACAGTATCTTAAAGAGATGGGAGGAAGCAGGTAGATACCCACATGAACTCCTGTCCCCAAGTTTTTTCCCTGATGCTTTTGGGAGACACCCAGCAAGGCTCTGAATTGGTGGGAAGACCTTAGCAAGTAGAGGAAGACTTTCAGCCCCAGAGCTCTTTTCCTTTGGGTGTGTCCTCCCAAAAGAGATGGAGAGAAGAGAGGCTAATGAGGCTAGGAGCCAGGATGGCTACTGTAGGTTCTTTCTCTTTTGGGAAACAGAGGCTTCTCAAAGTATGAAAAAAAGAAAACCCACAGACAAGCAAGGGAATAACTCCAACATCCCACATCTCTGCCTTGGGCCAGAATGAATGCCACCCCCTAAAAAGATTGCTTCTGCAATTACAACTGAATAAACAACCAATTAAAATGTCTCCCCTGGCCCTACCCTCTATCCCCCGTCTCTCTCTGAAGCTTTCTCAGCCTAGAGCCATGGGGCAAAGAGGTGACTTTCTCTAATAACATTTGTGTTCTCTGCCAGAGAGAACACTTGATGGAAGTGGACAAATCAATTATAAAATAATAAATAATGTGGAAAGGGCTGAGCCAAGAAAACCTCAGCTTCTCTGTGTTTTCATTCTCCTCCCACACACTGCTTCCCTCTCCACCGTGGCCCGCGCGAGGCTGTGGGAAGTGTTGGCCACATCTAGTGTTGCCCTTGGCCTTGTCACTCTGTGACCTCCAAACCCCTGTTACTTCATCTATAAGATGGGGATAAATAATGAGAATAGCTGAACACTTACTTCTACATGCCAGGCATTCTAAACCCTTTACACTTTCTTTTTAATGTCCCAAATCCTCTGAACAACTCTATGAGATAGGTACTATTATTGTTTTTGTGTTTTGTGAATAAAGGAACTGGTGTGCAGGGAGTCAAATAAATTGCTCAGTTAAGATAATTGACCCAAATGTCAAGTGGAAGAGCTGGATTCATAGCCAGGGCTCTGGCTTGGGATGGAGCCATCTTGCCCACTCTGTGGCATCACATGTGCACAGAGATGGAACAGCATGTGGAGCTGGCATACAGCAAGTGCTTAATAAGTGTTGGTTTTCCTTCTTTGATCACAGAACAGCCTGGTTTGAACTCCTTATGAGGTTTCCAGGCCAAGAAGCTGAGGATGGGACCTTGGGAGGGAAAGGGCACAATAGCAAGGCTTTGCGTCAATATCTGAACTTGTGTGGTTGTCTTTGAAATTGGTCACCTCAACCATGTTCAGGCCCACGTAGATGCAACCTCTCCTGGCCCTGCCTGTGTCTACAATTCAAGTTAACCAGTTATTTGGAAAGCTGTAAAGATTATGGTTACATGAGTATTTGGTTTTATGAACTCTTGATGCGGGTAGACAGGAGGGCACTCGAGGTCTCGACATCACTTATTCCCATCAGAGTTGAGGTGTAAGGTCATGACCCACAGAAATGCTCTGTGAAGCATCCAGTGTATTGATATGGAAACGGGGGTCTCATAGCAAGGAAGTGCCGAAACAGACTGTGACCTAAATATTTTGGCTGTTTTCTTTCCCAGTGTGAATTCAAATCCAACCATATGTACTGAGTGCTTCTCAGGTGTCAAGTCCTGTGCTGAGGACTCAGTAAACAGAGATGAGTAAGGTGCATCCCCTGCCTTCCAGGGAGCCACAAAGAGTGGCAGATATAGAAAGGGGTAGTGATTATTTGGAATGGTGTTAGAGTACCTACAAATAGGAGGTGGATGAGTACAAAGATGGTAAAGAAGGGGGGCGGGGGTGATGTGGAAATCAGGGAGTTCTTCCTGGAGGAGAGGTCCCAGAATGTACTTTGGATTTGTTCATCAGAGTCCCTGTTAGAGGGAATGGCATGAGTAAAGGCACTGGGGCTGATGCTTCATGGTGGGTGATACCAGTGCACAGTTGGAGATTCAAGAGAGGGGACAGAGAGATGAGGCCAAAAGTGGAGACGGGTTCTTGCAGGCCATGCTGGGAGCTTGGACTTTACTCTCATATTGAAAGGCCCTTCCATGACAAGGGAACCATCATTATGTGCTCTACATGCCGGGCCCTGTGCCAACCCCCTAGGAGAGACAACATTGTGAAAAAGGAAAACACTTTTAACTGACCGTGTGACCTTAGCAAGATATGAAGGTTCTTTAAGCCTCTATCTTCTCCTCTGGAAAATGGGGATAATGCTGCCCACCTCGGTATAAATAAGTAGATGAAAGGAGATAATCCGTGTAAAGTCAGGCTAACAAACATCAAATATCATTATTCCTGGACTTTATCTTGCCTACTACCAGCTGCCTGCCTGTTTACTTATTTATGTTTTTATTCATTTATTTATCAATGAATCACTGGATTCATTTCCAGCCTTCCTCAAGAAGTGATTATCAGCTGCTCACAAGATCCCTAAAATACATGACGACAAATATAACATAGGAGCTAGAAGAGGCACTGTGAGCAGAGAGCAGGATGCCTCTCTCTGTTCTGGGATGAGTGTGAATAACTTTCCTGTGGCTGATCCCCTGCTTTAGCCTTTCTGTCTTGATGGGAGAGTCTTCCTCTGCAAGGGAAGACATCTTAATACTGAGCACCTAGGATGTGCCAGTTTCTCTCCAAAGACCATTTCCTTCTCTCTCCAACATGTGTTTGTCCCAAGTATTAAAGAGTTGACAGTTGTACTATGGGGAATTAATGGGAGTTAATTCACTTTCCAGATATGTCAGGCTAAGCAGCGACCTCAAATACAATATCCTTCTGTAGTCTATTGTACAGACAAAGATATAGAGGCTTGCAGAATGCAGAATCGTGTGATACAGGAGACAGCATGATGCCCCAGTCAAAGGAGTATGGTTTTCCAAGCTAGACAGAATTGACCCTGAAACCCAGTTCTGCAGTTTTGGACAACCTCTTTAATAACATTGGGCCACATGTTGCTTATCTTGAAAACCAAGTAACAGTGCCTCCTGGCAAGGTTGATATAGAGATGCAAAGAAGGCTTCCTAGCACAGCTCCGTATACACCAAATGAATGGTCCAAGGTCCATAGTGAAATAGGAAAGAGAAAGAAGCCAAGACTAGAAAATAAGTTCGCTCTTCCATGGTCTGTGTTCTTGATCTGTACATACTCACATTGTGTGGCCCTGTCACTAGTCAGTATAGCTGAGTCCTTAGGGACACAGATGTGGACCTTAGATAAATTTCAGTTCTGAATTGAACTCTGCTATTTGTAAGCTGAGCAACCTTATCAAGCCTTACACGCTTAGGGATATAATTTTCTTATCTATAAAATGGGGCCATATCAGTTATCTTACAATATGTATTGAAAGAAGTCAATGAGGTGATGTCTATAAAGTGCTTAGCAAAGTGCCTGACACATAGTTGCTCTACTGAATGAGCAGTACCTGTTATGCGAAGAGTCACGTTTTTGAATGGTGATGACAGCCAAGGTTCTTTTTCTATTACAGAGCGTACTTGGATGTTAATGAACTGAAGAACATTCTTAGACTGGATGGAACTACACACCTCAATATCTTCTTTGCAAACTCCTCGGAGGAGGAATTGGCAGGAGTAGCCACTTGGCCATGGGACAAGGAGGCCCTAATGCCCTTAGGTGAGAATTAGAAACGTCTCCAGGAGGGAGTTGGATTAGCACAGGAATACAGTTACTAGTGGTGATGGTGATCCTGATGGTGGTGGTGGTATGGGAATGATGAACAATTTACTTTTCACTTTTTAAATTTACAAAACTCTTGAGCATTCCTTATCTCTTGTCAACCACTAAGAAATGCTCTGAAGAAAATAATACAACAGTTTCCCAATGAAGAAACTGAGATTTAGAGAGGGAGTGGGGTCTTATCCAAGGTCACACACGTCAGTGGCAGAGCCATGTTTTGAATTCAGATTTATTAACTCCGTTCACTGATTTGTTTCAGCGTCCCCTGCCTCTCTGTCTCTTCGTTCATGCAAATATCTCCTCAGCCTTGTAACCACATTGTGCTGGCACAGCCAAACATGGGTTGGCTTGAAAGCCACCAGAGAGGCAAGAGAAAGCGAGTTTGTAAGAACTCCTTGTTCCTTCATGTTCCACCCACCAACACCAGGAACTCTTCTTACATTCAAATTATGCATGTCCATAAACAAAATATATGTTTATACATATCAATACCAAAGTCAGAAATGACAATGGTTTCTGAACCACGCACTCTGAGCAAACATTGGAGTTATTCGATTTTGTAAAATTTTTCCCATGCTCTCTTCCAGTTCACAGATATACACAGACGTGCATTTTTAACTTGTGCATATTTGAAATCATAGCATAAATGCAATTTTGTGTTCTTTTTTTTTCACAGAGTGTTATGCTATCTACATTTTTCCATGTTGCGGCAATCTTCGTAATTACTTCCCACCCCACTTTTTCTCATTTAACATCACACACATATTTCTGGGTTATTTCCATCTCTCTAAAGATGCCATTTGTAATGGCCACATGACACTCCATTGAATGAGGGCACTGCAGTGTCTTTAACCGTTTCCCTTTGGTGGAATGTTCCCATTATTTCCACCAGTGAGTAGTGATGACTCAGTGAGTGTCTTCATCAGAAAATGCCCAGTCTCAGCAGAGTGACTGTGCTGGATGTTTCCTCAGGCTGCCTGGTCTCCCAGGGGTAGACCCACAGTCCAGTAGCTGCATCTACGCTATCTTGGAGATGAAGGACTCTGTAACTTCTAATAATGACGTTGTGCTGAATTAAACTCTAGACTTAGTTTGCTCTAGACAGCTCTCATTTTCCAGTTGTTTTTAAGAGAATGAAACCACTGTGTGTGTGTGTGTGTGTGTGTGTGTGTGTGTATGTGTATGATGATGTAAATAGAAGTAGATAAAAAATAAATATTAGTGATTCTCAACTGGGAAGGGGTGGATTTTATCTCCTAGGAGACACTTGGCAATGTCTAGAGATATTTTTGGTTGTTAAAATGGGGGGATGCTACACCAGTAGCATCTAGTGGGTAGAGGCCAGTGATGCTGCTAAATCTCCTGCAAAAGCCACAGAAAGGAATTATCTAGTCCCAAATGCAGTAGTGTTGAGAAACCCTGAGGTTGGTGATAGGTAGACAGACAGGTGGATTCACAGACAGACAGAGAGGTATTGGGCAGAAGAGAGATTGGAACTTCGGCAAACTTGGGCACAATCAGCTTATACCACATGCTTCGTATGATGTCTGGGAATCGTGCTGGTCCAGAGCCAAAATCCATAGTTGTTCTCAGCAGGGAACAGATTCAGTAGTATGGCCTTAGGCAGGTCTCTTGCTTTTCCCAGATCTCAGTTTCTTCAGATTTTAAATGAACAGGGTAGGCTAGATGGTGGCCTCCAAGGACCCTTCTCGGTGCTGAAATTTTGTGCTATTGGAAAAGCAACTAACAAGGCCATGAGCAGTCTTAAAAGGGTTGAACAGCAGACTTCTAAAGTTAGAGAAAAGTACTCCTGATATTCCACGAATTTCAGAGACTGGCTCAGGACCAGGAGTACAGAAGGCTATAAATCCATAGCATGTTATAGTATTTCAGGATGATGTCAGGCTCCAGCTATTTCACCTTTTAAGAGAAGCAATGAAACAGGACTCGGGCCCTGTGCTATCGCTTTGTGCAAAGGGGTGCGCTGGCGGGAATGAGGTAGAACAGGCAGAGCCCACCTGGACAGTAAGTCTGCAATCCTGTCCTTATCCTTGAAAAATACCTGTGGGGTCCTCTTCCCATTACCTCGGTGTCGAAGTTCCTGGAGAGACGGAGTCATTGACACTATTGTGGCTGTTTCTTTTAGAACTCCCCAGAGAGTCAAGGTCACTTTCCCAAGATCATACAGCCAATATGAAGCAAATGGAGGATTGCAACCCATGTCAGGCTAACTCCAGCTGTTCTTCAGGCTGCCACCTCCCTGTTTTGAGAGAGATTGATCATAAGCAAGTTCTCTGAAGTAGCCCCAATCAAACCCCATTTATTAGAAATTATACACACACACACACACACACACACACTTCTGCTAGTTACACCATGATCCCTAGAAAAAGTCTTGGGTGGGAAGGGGATTATGTTTTGTATTATGATCGACATAAAATAGACATAAAATAATTGAGAGAGATTTCCTGTCTCAGTTTCTCTTCCTCCCTGCCTTTGCCTGTCCCTTCTCACATACACACATGCACACACCCCCATCACCACAGTCCTCTCATACATCTTTATCTTTGGGTTTGAAGAAGGCCCTGAGCAGTTCAGAATCAATAGACCCCACCAGCCCCATGACTGAGCGAGCTAGCCCTCCCGGCAGTTGAATCTGAGATAAATCTCCTGCTCGCCAGCACCAGGCCTGCCAGGACAGATCATGGGTCAGTTGCTTCACTTCTCTGGGAATCAGTGCCTGTCTCATCTGGTTGGGAATGACTGTGATTAGACACAAGAAACACTCAGCAGCTGGCCTAAGGAGACATCATAATGCTCAAGAAATATTGGCTTTATGGTCACTGTTATAATGACAAGTGCAACCCAGTGCTCGCCTTCAGGAACGTTCACTCACAGAGATGAGAGAGAAAAAGGAATGGGACCCAGAGATGTCATTGACTTGCTCAAGGTCACAAAGTTAGTGCAGGCAGAATGAGCCCTGAAACCAACGTGTCTCACCTTGAGGGCTTCAGTTAAGCAGAAGCTTGTAGAATACTTATCAACCTGGGTGTAACTTACTTCCTAAGGAAGAAGTTGCTGCAGAAATATTTACCAGCCCAGAAATCAGAGGCCTTGAATTTGAATCATGCAGTCTCTTTTAAGTAGTTGGAGATCATTGTGGGTAAGTTGCCTCACTTCTGTAGGCATTGGTGTTTCCATCTGGAAAATGAAGGGATTGCAAAAATGACTTTTGAGACCCCTTTCTACTAAATCAGTGATTCATATTACAAGTCACAACAGCGCCCAGGGCAGTAGGAGGCATAGGGTGGAAAAGCCCATGGGTACTTTGGGCAGCACCCCATTGATTGGGGGATTCCTAAATCAGGAAGCAAAGTGTCCAGCTTGCCTCATGCTCTGGTTTTCCCCTTGCAGGTGGCATCGTCCTGAACCCATCTGTCTATGAAAAGCTGTTCCTGGGCACACCCACACCATGATCCACGAGATCGGGCACAGCCTGGGCCTCTATCACATCTTTCGAGGCATCTCAGAAATACAGTCTTGCAGTGACCCCTGCATGGAGACCGAGCCCTCCTTTGAGACCGGAGACCTCTGCAGTGACACCAACCCAGCCCCAAAATACAAGTTCTGCGGTGACCCAGGGCCAGGAAATGACACCTGTGGCTTTCACAGCTTCTTCGACACTCCTTACAACAACTTCATGAGCTATGCAGGTAGGGCCCCACTCTGGGCGGGATGCCTGGGGCTGGGCAGCAGATAGGGGCTCCAGTCCTGACTCAGCGTATCTTTGAGCAAGCTGCTCAACCGCTGCTAACACATCTTCCCGACAATTCCTCATCCCAGGCCATCCGGATAATACTTCCGGTGAACATTTCTACTGCAACTTCTTCCTTAGAAAGTATTTCACTCCCGGGTTTATAAGTATTCTGTGTGCTTCTGCTTAAATGAAACCCTCAAGGTCAGACCCCTTGATTTCAGTGCTCAGTCTGCCTTCACTAACTCTATGACCTTGAGAACCTCAAGTGTCCATGGGTGATGCTGCATCTGAAAGCCCCTCAGGAAGACGCACATTGGAAAGCCCGCGGGCTGGTACTCAGGACACCTGAGTAGAGGCCTGGCTCTGCCACTCACTCACCTGGTGCCTTTCAGCCCATCCCGTCTCCTTTCTTTTCTCCAGAAAATGGGTTCTTCAGACTCTGTCTCTAAGGTCCCCCTTTGTTTTTCAGCTGTATTTTTCTCATCTCGTGGTTTTTGAACCTTTTAAAAAAAACACCATAAAACTCTCACACCCTCCTTTACTATTTTATTACCAAAAAAAAAGGAATGCTTTTAGTTTTGTAATTACATAATGATTACATGAGATCGATACGTCCTTTTTCTAAGCACACATGTCCTATCAAAACCCTTTAGTAACAGTATTACGGATTTATTCCTTGGGTTCTAGGATGCCCGCACTTCCTTTTAGCATCTGTGAAAACCACCTCTAGTCCTGTAACATCTTTAGCAAATTAGAACAAGGCATCTTTTCCTCAGAGTATAACAGCCCTCACTGCTGGCCCCTTTAAGCAACAGCCCTATGTAAGGTAAGAGCTACAAAATTACACAAATTCTATTATAATATTCAACTTAGGGCCTCTTTTCCCACTAGAACAAGGGAATTCTGTGAAGGCACATTGTCTCTAATGCATCACTGTATTCCTAGCACCCAGAATAGGGCCTGCGTGGTTAATAAATGCTTGTTAGGAAGAAAGGGAGGTGAGGGAGCCATGGACACAAGGAAGTGAATAAATCCTCTTATAATAGGCCTATAAAATTGATGCTTATCAATAACAGTATTTCTACTTATAGGAAAGGTTATTGTCCATAAAGGACTTTAGAGTAGATGCCATCTTATTTCATTCTCACCAAAAATCTAAGGGGTAGGAACTATTCACATGTTACAGATGACAGTTCTGGGATGCATTAAAGTTATGTGCCCCAGGTCATACATCTGACTACAAGCACTTCTTCCCTTCTACAATGGTGCCACTCTTCACCAGAGACCCAGATGGTGGGAGAGAGGGAAACTGAGAAACCTGGGTGGTTTTCCACCCTGCTCCACAGAGAGGCGTCAGGAACTGCCCTGGGTGGGGCTCTAGGCCTCTATTTCCACTTGAACCAGGGAAGACCTCCAAATGTGTTTCATTTCTGTTGGCGTTATGCTTTGGATTGCATGTAGAAAGATGACTTTGCTATTAACACGCAATGAGTTAGATGATCCCCAGGGGTCTTCCTATTTTCCCATTTGGGCTGATGACCTCTGGGGGTCTCAGGTTCATACAGTCCAAACCTGAGGGCTCTCTAAGACAGCGGTTCTCAACCTGTGGGTCGCGACCCCTTTGGTGGTCAAACGACCCTTTCACAGGGGTCACCTAAGACCATCCTGCATATCAGATATTTACATTATGATTCATAACAGTAGCAACATTACAGTTATGAAGTAGCAACAAAAATAACTTTATGGTTGGGTCACAACATATTTAAAGGGCCAGAAGGTTGAGAACCAGTGCTCTAAGAGTTAGTCCCCACCTGGGCACCATAAAGAGTCTTCAGGTTTCGTTCTCTGAAAAGACCAGAGTGCTGGGTATTTCCTCAAAAGCAGATTCCCACTGGGTTCCACTCCCAGCCCAGCGGACATCCCACATCCAGTGCCCTGTCCCCTCACACAGCCCTGCTTACGGCCCATTTCTGCGGCACCTTTCCTCGGCCAGTACAACGCACAGGGAAAATAAACAATAACATGAGTTTGGAAGTTTGCCGGCCTCTTAGGAGCCTAGGAGCTGCCACTAGCTATCAGACCCCCATAAACTAAATCTCTTTTTGTTCCCCTTTGTACAGATCTAAAGGGTGATTGATTTACTGTTGTTTTTCTAAAGGAACCCCTCAGCTCAGTGACCCATTAACAGCAGAACTAATTCACTGAGCTACGATAACAAACTTACACCCGCAAAAGCATATTCAAGGCAACCACGAGCTTTGAAATGTTTGTTTTCCTTAGGATCTCTGATAGATGAGGTGACAAAAGCAGCTGGATGAAGTTCAAAATACAGAGCAGGATCGGGTTCTCAGGGCCTGGAGAGCAGGAGAGCGGTGCTGAGGGCCCTTGCAGTCCAGGCGAGAGGGTGGAACCCCTTGGGGTCAACTTCTTGGAGTCCTGCCTTTCCGGTGCTTCCTCCTCAGGCCTGGTCACTAGCGGGGTGGAGAGTCTAGGGCAGCGCCATCTGCAGAACGTTCTGCAGAGAAGGACGTGTTCCGCGTCTGTGCTGCCCAGGATGCTAGCCGTTAGTGAGACCGAGGAACTGAATTCTCAGTCTTAAGTAATTGTGGTTCATTTCAGTTGACATAACCATGCTAGGCTACCATATTGATCGGCACAGGTCTTCACTGATGATTGAGTGTCTATGACAGGCCAGACACTGTGTGAAACACTTTGTAGGTTTCTCTCACAGAACTTTCCAAATGACCCGATGAGGTCAGGGCTGTTACTATTGCACCCATTTTACAGATGCAGAGAGTGTGGTTTAGGGAGCGTCGGTAGCTGGCCTGGAGTCACACAGCAAAACCAAGACAAGCTTTTCTCACTGGAAGGTTAGCAGTCAGTAATTATCTGGTTGTTTCTGATACTAGGTGAGGCTGAGAGGGTCCCAGTTGCTCAGATCAAGCTGGCACCAGGCAGGTAACCGGGAGAACCTAGTTGAGCAAAAGGAGAGTAAGATCATATTGCCCTGGGCAGATAGGAGGGCTGCAGCCTGGACCCTCCTTCCTGAAGATAACAGGCCTAGGGGCCCACCAAGCTCCAGCCCACTCCCCCCCCCACCCCACCCCCACTCCCAGAGTGTGGTAACCAGCCTTCTCCAACCTATGGGAGCCACTGTCTTGTCACCATCTTCCTCCGTGCCAGGGCCCTTAATGTGCCATATGCTTTGCCCATCCACCCCATATATAAGAATATATCCTGAGGAAATAAATCAGTTGCATCAGTTGCTGTGTTTAAAGATTTAATCAGAAGAATGGTCTTAGCAAGGTTCATTCTCCGAATATTAATTAGGCATTTACTATCTGCCAGGTGTAGAAGAAAAATGCTTATATGTGTGAAAAATGAGAAACAGCGTACAAGTCCGAAGGGAATGGATTGCTGAAATAAATCACAAGGCATCTGCAGGATGCACACTATGCAGCCACTAGGAGAGTGGTGGGCGGAGTGGTTCAGAGGGTGAAGTTTGGGGCATAGGGCCGGACTAGAATCCTCCATGCACCAGCCTTTGAGCCAAGCAAGTTACTTCTCCTCTCCCAGCCTCGGTTGATTCATGGAGACCATGGGGAATAGGCACACCGTGCGTGATAGGTGCCGTCATATAGGTGACAGGCTTAGTATCATCGCTAGTGCTCAGTCCATGACAATTAGTGGGTCATTTATGAGTTATTTAATGTGAAAACAGTCACACAGTCACAGAGTCTTATGTATAGAGTAAGGTGTGTGTGTGCATGTGTGTGTATGTTTGTGCTGAGAAATTTACATATTCATATCCATACACACATACATATACCTGTATACTAAATATTAATTCTGTTATCTCTAGGTAATGAGTTTAGGGTGACATTTCTTTGTAACTCTATTTTTTTTTTACCATATGACAAATGTTCTGCAATGAATATCTGTAACTTTCATATTCCTTTATTATTATTACTGTCATTATCATTATTGTTAAAACAACACACAGGGAGGGACTTTTACAAAAGGCAACTCAGTTATCCATGCACTAGACCTGGGCCAGCTTGCTAAATGCCTTCCTCAGCTTTAGGGGGAAGGTGCCCTTATTATTCCCTATTATCCAGTGGGTGAAAACGAGGCTGGCAGGGATCAGCATTTGCCCACCTTTCCGCATGAAGCGGAGGAGCTGCGCCCAGGCCCTGCACCTCCGTGCTCGGTGGCTCCCTGCCACAGATGGAAACCAAGTTCCTTAGCAAACCCAGGGCACTCCATCAACGTCATGGGACTAGTGCAGGCTCCCAGCAGAATGCCAGCCCCAAATTCCTTTCCACTAGGGGACATGGTGGGGACAGAAGAACAAGATGTGCCAGTTGGTCCTGAGACTAGGGTAAAGTGGCTACAGATACCAGGCGGGGAGGCATGTGGTGGTGGGAAGCTAGACATGAGCTAATTGAGACAGAGCATTTGTGATAAACAGAACCCTTTGGTATCTCACCCAGGATTCTGATAGCAGCTCCATCTCTAAGTTATGCACCCAAGACAAACTTTCTTTTCTGACTTCAACTTTAAATTGCAGAGGCATTTCAGTTCCCTACCAGGTTCTATTTTTCAAATTCTCTTTTTGCTGACAGACATGGAAATGACTAATTTTTATGTTATAAAAGGTAAATATTCTTCTTTGGGGTTACAAGAAACAACTCAGAGTGTATAGAGAAAAACTGCATTTCTCCTCCATTCATCTCGACTAATGCTTTGTGTGCTTCTGCTCAAGGATGTGCACAACTCCATGGGGTGGGACTGATTTAAATAGCCCTCATTTATACATCAGGATCCGAGATTTAAAGTTACTTCCTTTATTTGGAAATGATTGATTTGTATTCTGTTCTATGCTTAGGCGTAAGTTACACAGCTGTTTCCTTATTAATAGAGAGATGTGCTATTTCTAATATTTTTACTATGCTAAATAACGCTTTAAAAAGTCCTTTATATATATTTCCCCATATATGTTCATGAATATATACCTATTGAATTCCTAAATGTGATATTGCCAGATCAAAGAGGAGGACTATTTTACATTCTGTTTATTTCCTGCTCCAAGTTTGCGCGCGCACCCACACGCGCGCGCGCACACACACACACACGCACCCAATCATGTGGCAGTGAGCATGTACTAAGCATTTGTCATGCTTCTTGGTGCTCCACTCCCCTTAACCCTTAGCCTTAGCTATGTTCTGAGATCAGCACTTAACCACCCACTTTACAGATGGGGAACTGAGGCACTGAGGGCATGAATGGCTTGCCCATTTGACTCCAGATCCCACGTGCATTAATAGAACTATGCAGACATACTGCCTTAGCCCTCGTGCCCTTCTCCTGCCTCTAGCTTATCCAGTGGCTTTCCCACGGCTTCCAGGATGAACAGCAAAGCTCTTAGTAACAAAGAAAATTGTACCCGATGATCTGGCCCTTCTCAGTCTGAGATGTTTGAACTCTGTTCTCCAGGCAGTAGGGAGCCATAGAATGTTTGGTTTCCAAGGAGAAATCAGGACGTGAGAGAGATTTGTGCTAGTCATGCTTTTATAGAACTTGCTAGGGGACATCAGGCTCTTCTGCTTCCTTCAGGTTGTGAAAGACTTCCCCAGGGGCTGAAAAAGGAGACTGTCACAAATTACTAAGGAGATCAGAGGCAGCTTCTGTGGATACCCTCCGTACACCCCTGCCCTTTCCCCAATCTGGATTCTCAAGGTCACGTCCAACTACCCAGCACCTGCCCAAACTTATTTTCTGTTTGTTTGATAAGAGAAGTGAGCTTATGCTGCAGGATTCCCAGCGGTGGGTTTATTTTAAGATCTGGCGAGCCCGTGCTCCTCCGTCTGGGGCCCAGCTGCGGAAACCCTGACCAGGCGGACACCTCTGGGAAGTGGTGTTTTTGGAAACCAAGCCAAAACAGTGCCTGGCCCTGCCCATGGGGCAGCTGAATAAAGCTGTTGAAGGAAGAGATGGGAGGCAAGCTTCTTCCTTGGGGGCTGAGTCTCGGGTCACCGCCTGCAGTCCACATCTTAGAGAAAGGAGAAGAAGATTGAAGGTCATTGCATCAAAAGACATTTAAGGGATTGTATTCCAGCCCCCTCAGGCTCAGCTCCCATTTATCAAGCACCTGCAGGATGCTTTCCCCACACAAAGTCTCACTTATGCTCAGAAAGAAGTTCTCATATTGATTAGAAGCCCGACCTTGGAGTCGAGATTGCCTGGGTTCGAATCCCAGATTTGTCTCAGGCTCTGCGATCTTGAAATTGTTGCTTGATTCCTCTCAGTCTCAATCCCCTCTCTGTAAAATGGAGAATATCGTAGTATTTATTCCAAAAAATAATGGGAGAGCTCAGTACACTGTGCTTGGCTCATACATGATAAGTGTCCCCATGTCAGTACTGTGCAGAAGCTGTCATTGTCCTCATGTTCCCAGCATGCACACCGTGACTCTGTGGTCTTGCAGCTCTGTCCCCTGCAGTCCCTCCAGTTTCTTCCCCAGCCTTAGCCATGCAGTCTGATTGACCTCAAGTACCTCCTCCTTCAGAAGCCTCCCTGGCTCACTCTCCTTTCCCATCATGCTGCCTCCTTCTGTTCATTGGTGGTCACATGGCTTCACAGACTTTAGCAGCCTCATAACAACCTTGACTCGTACAACTAACTGACCTTCACTTTAGCACTAGATGGGTAGCTCCTCCAGGGCAGGGGTGTTCCACGTTTCACCTTTCTGTGGCCCTTGGCACAGAGCAGAGAATATGTAATAGATGCTCAGAAGGTTTGCTTAAAGGACTCTCACTCCATCAGTGAATTGCAGAATGAATGAATGAGTGCATCAATGCATGTGAAGGAAAGAGTTGAATGAATGAATGAATGAATGAATGAATGAATAAAGACAGTGAATAAATGGTGAGGGAGGGAGCAGATAAGGGAATGTGTGACATACAGACCAATGCATTTGGGACTCAGGGAAAGCAGCTTGTCCTGCCCTTGTCCTTAGCCATGACCTCTGGGCTGTTCCCTGTCCGTCTCAGATGTGCTTTTTCAGTCCTGTCCACCCTCCCATTCCTCCTGTTCCCCCTCACCTGTCTCCAGAAGTGATGACTACACTAATTTGTTCACAGACCATTAACTCTTGAGTGCTGGAAGAGGCCGGCTCTGAGTTGGCAAGGGCTGGGGTGCTGGCTCTCAGGCCTCCAGGAGACATCATCCTTCTGCATGCCCGCCTGTGCAGCCAAGTTCTTATCTCCCCCTTTGCCCCTTGCAGACGACGACTGCACCGACTCCTTCACGCCCAATCAAGTCGCCAGAATGCACTGCTACCTGGACCTGGTGTACCAGGGCTGGCAGCCCTCCAAGAAGCCGGCGCCGGTCGCCCTGGCTCCCCAGATTGTGGGCCACACGACTGACTCCGTGACGCTGGAGTGGTTTCCACCCATCGATGGCCACTTCTTTGAAAGGTGAGCATGGCCCATGGAGTGTTGATTCCGCTTGCTCTCTCCTGCCAAGAAGAGGGAAACTTGGAAGGGAAGTGAAACTGGGAGGGAGCTTTGGCTGTGTTCTTTGTCTTTGCCTTCGGCCCGTAGGTGCCCCGGCACCTAACACAGTGACTGGTCCATATGGGCACATGATACATTTGAGGGTCAAGGAATAAATGAATGATGGCTAATATAAATTAATAAATAATAAAACATATTTTACATGAATGGAGTGAATGTTTAGCTTTATTTTAGCATTAAAAACCTGAAACCTTGATTAGAATCACCTCTGGGATAGAGGTGCTGGTCTCATCTCCAAGAGCTCAGGACTTGAAATTGGCAAACACCTTTGTAGACATGTTATATGTGAAGGTGTGTATAAGTTTATGTGTATATTCATACATTACACATGCATATGTATAATGTAGATAGACATGTGCATATATCTCTTCCTAGTATGCAATCTTAGACTGTGAGCAGTGTTTCTTTGTAGAATGAAAGGGCAGAATTGTTGGGAGACCAGGAATGACAAGCTGAGGCACAGAATACCTCGTGCTGCTCCTGTCTTTCATTTTCTAGCTGTGTGGCCTTGGGCAGGTCACTCTCCCTCCCTGAGCTGTATTCTGCTCCCCTGAAAAGTGGGTCTCATGAGGCCTCAGTGTCTGAGGTGGAGACTCTCTCTCGGAGTGCCTTTCAGCATTGAGACCCACTGAGAACCTCTGGCTTCGGGGGCCCAGATTTTAGAGGGTCATGAAAACAGGCTACGATGTTCACATGTTGACATCTGTTTTGGAACTTAGCTATAATTTAGGACAGATTAGTATATCACAGCTCACCCCCGCCCCCTAGATGATCTTGGGGATGTTTAGCCAATTATGATGATAGCCTGGATGATGTGGGAAACAATAACCAGCTAATCATTAATTCCTATTACTCTGTGGTTGTGGTGAACTATCCAGTGCTTATTCTGTGTTGGATTCTGTACTGAATTCTTTGTATACAGTGTCTCATTCTGTCTTCCCAGCCACTCTGTAAAAGAGAGATCGTCTTCCCTATCTGCCAGGCAAGAAGGGAACTGGAGCTCAAAGAGGCTGGGAGATTTGACCAGAAGCCCATAGAAGGTGGTAGGAGTTGGAGTCCAGCTCCCATTTGACAGTGTCTGGTCTCAGACTCCCATGTGTGTTAATTAAATCCTTACAAAGCCCAAATTATGAAGGAGAGGTGTGTGTGTGTGTGTGTGCGCGCATTGTGTGTGTATGTATATAAAAAATAGATCATGGCACCACATTAAATTGGGGCTCTAATTTTCCATCCTGCCATCAGTCCCTGAATCTAGACCAGGGGTGGGCAAACTACGGCCCGCGGGCCGGATCCGGCCCGCGGGCCGTAGTTTGCCCACCGCTCATCTAGACCCTTCATTCGGCAGTGGGGGATGTGACCACAGGGGAGGAAAGGCACCTCCTATCCTCTGCAGAAACCTCTCCTCCTCCCCCCGCCACCCTCACTGGGAGCTCAATGCTGGGTTTGGGAAACCTCATGTGACACTTCAGAGCAGGCTTTCCAGCAGCCCATGGATTTATTTATTTTTTCTGTGGCAATGAGAAGTATCAGGCTTTTGGTCCAGCCTTGGCCTTACTTCCACTTAAAAATGGAAGTTTTGTAAATGAGGCTTGCTGTGTATGTATTCAATTTGTATTTCATAAAGCAGTTATTGTCCATTAAATAAATACCATCTGATTGTTGGAAACCTATTGGAGGGTTAATTGTTGTGTAATGAGATATGGCTCTATTTCACAGTGCCCTCCGCTTCAATCAATATGTTTTTAATAACCAATAGTCAGTTGGTACTTGAGGCTCATACAATAGCTATTCTGTTCAGTTTAAGATTTCATAACGGAGTTATCATATGTTAAATTAAAACCGACATTTTAGAAACATGTCTAATTAGGGTTAACAGCTACGTAGATCATAGTCTATGGCTGAAGGAAGTCAGTCCTCAGTTGAATAAATTGTCGTAAAGAAATGGAACTATGTATGTCACTTTCTCATACACACAGTTTATATTCCAAAAATTGGCTTAGTTTGAAATACACAGTCTTTGATGTCAGGTTGCGTGTGTTCCGTCCCAGCCTCACCACTCTAGTCTGTGGGCCCTTGGTCAAGCGATCACACCTCTCAGATTCTCTCTGGCCCTCTGATTTTCCATAAAAAGGTGCTAATCATGCCCTCTTCACCTGGCATTTCGGGGGAATTTCAACAAGACTACCTCTGTGATATGCCCAGCACACACATTCTATGTTCAACAAATAGCAGCTCTCATATTGTACAAAGTTTTTCAGAGCTGCTTAGCTACTTGAAATGTTCTTTCCCTGCACCATCTCTGGTGTTTTCCACTACATCCATCAATGCCAACCTCTCGCCCCTGGCCATCCTCATGTCCTCCTGCTGTTCCTCACATCTGTGGTCTCAGAGAATACAAGTGCTTTCCTTAAAACAACATGTTCAGATCCTCCCACAGCCTGTGTCCTCACACATGGGCAACTGAATAAATAATTCAAGGCCACCCCCCAGCTTTCCTAACTTCTTTATTTCTATCTGTCTTGCAAACATGTGTTGACTGGCTGGTTTCAGTTATCTGAACAATTGGCTGTGGCATATTAGGAAAGCACTGAACTGGGAACCAGGAGATCAGGGTCTGAAGGCTTTGGGATCTTATCCATGCCCTCTTCTTCAGCCTGTGTTCCAATCTTGAAGCCGAAGGATACTAGCCTTTCTCACCAGCATTCTTCTTCCAAATCCCAGAACACAGACAATCACTTGAGTGACTATTTTCTCAAATCTCCCAAGGATGTTGCATGGCTAGTACCATTCTAGATGCACAAGGAAGAAGTTACTCCATTATGTACAGTGGATGCCTGAGTGAATCACTGTCCAAATAGGACTTTATATAGTAATGGAAATACTCTATAACCTGCCCAGATGATATGGTAGCCATTAGCCAACTGTGACCATGGAGCACTTGAAATATGATGGCACATGGGATAGAGGAACTGGGTTTCTAAATTCGTTAAATTTTAATTTGTTTAAATGTAAATAGCCACATGTAGCTGGTGGCTGCCATATTGGACAGCACAGACTTGGAGCTTAAGCACTGACTCTCAAGGTACCCAGATATGAAAAAGGATCTCTTTCAGCATTAATGATTAGTGTCCTATATTTCTATGATTTCGGTGTGTGTGTGTGTGTGTGTGTGTAGACACAGATATATAAAAATCAAATAAATGCCAAAGGTAAGAAACACACATATACACTCCCTGGATGAATAGGACACTGCCTGATTTTGGTAAAGGCCACAAAATCTCTGTGGCTTTCCAAGCTATGGCCTTAGGATGATTACTTTGTACTCATGAACCTTAGTTTCCTAATCTGTAAAATGGGAACATTGCATCTAATATCCTGATCCTTCGGTGGCCAGTGTCTAGGACTGGTACAGCACCAGCCATCAGATGCTGTTCAATGACATCCATTGAATGTATAGGTTAAACAATGAATGAACATGTGAATCGATGGTTGAATATGAAGGAATATACTTCGTGGAGCTCTGTGAAAACAAGGCACATTGCTGTCGGGTATATGATGGTTTATTCATCATCGAAGTATTTATTGGAAACCTAGGATGTGCCAAAAACTCAATGAAGTGTAGGTGACTATATAAATATAATCCAGAAAAAAAAAATGAAGAAACAGAAAGAAAGACTCATTGGCCATTTAAGTCAGTGTGGTACCTGATTGTGGTACCTAATTCCATCCCAGGACATTTGTAATCTCATTGTCATCAGAGGCATTCATGTGACGCAGAGCTGCTCTGCATGGACTGTGGTCACTGTAACGGAACTCTGCCCCCTCCATAGTGGTGCTGAGCAAGTCTCTCTCTCTTTAGTCCTCATTTGTTTCCTATAAGTTTATTTTGTATAAGTTTATTATTGCTAGTCCACATTCAGAATATATAGAAAATTCAGAAAACCAGAAGAATAAAAATAGGGGATCATCCTGTGCTCCACCACCTGGAAATTACTTCCAGTAATATCTTGCCATGTTAAGGTTATTTGAACATTGAAATGCTGGCTATAAATTCAGTTTTGAATATGACTTCTGAATGAATGAATAATCTACAGTTGGCTGTAGATTCAGCTTGGAATATGCCTTTTTCACTTAACATTATAGTTTACATTTTCCATGAAATTTCATCATCTTTATAAATATTTTTGGAATAACTACTTACCATTTCATTGAGCAAATTAACCTTAGGTTATTTAATCATTTTCCTATTTCTGAATATTTAGTGTGCTTTTAAACTTCCTATGACTGTATAAAAATATAACCTATATGTATGGTTTTAAAACCATACATATGTATGTATAAAACCTATATGTGTGGTTAATATTTTCAATGATGAAGCTGAGGATGTAAATTCTGAAATTTGAAGAACTAGGCTACGTTAGTCAGGAATCTTAGCAACATGTCTGAATGACTAGTATTTACCCATCCACCCATCTATCCATCCATCCACCCAACTACACTTGTTGACCACTATATAAACACATAAGCAGGGGCATGGCTTGCTCAGATTTAGGTTTGGGGGTGAGCTCCCTGGCATCCGTAGGGAGGAGGAATGGGGAGCACCAGCAAACTTCCATACCATGTGAGCTCAGAGGCTACAGAGTTTCCCTGTGAAGGGAAACCTTAAGGCTCCCCCATTGTGTTCTTGCAGGAAGCCAAAGGAGGAACCTTCTAGGAATGACCAAAGAGCTATTGGCAGGATCATTGCATTTTGACAAATAATGGGTCAGGCTGGCACATTTCTTGGCATCTTCCCTTTCCAGTTCCTTTGCAGTGGTCGCTCAGATTTGTGGAGTTTTGGGTCCACCCTAGTACATGAGGGCTAATCTCTCTCCACTCCTGGAAATTGCCTCCAAAACATTTGCCAAGTCTGGAGAACAAGTAGAATCCCAGAGGCTGTTGTGGCTAAAGGGAATTTGGATCCAGATACGAGACAGTAGACAGTAGGGGAAGCCATCATCATATTCCACTTCTGGGGCTGGTCCTTCTGAGGGATTGGCTTGCCCCTTGGAAAGCTGCTAAAAGGAATTAGATGGCATGGCAAAGAAACTGCTTGTGAGTGTTTAACCAAGGAGTGACTCATCCATTCACAGAATGTCAGGGCTGGAAGGTTCTCTGGTTATCTTCTAGTTCAGCCCACTCATTTTTCAGACAGAGGAACTAAACCATGCCTTCTTCCTATTTAATATCTGGGAAGCAGGATGGTGCCTGGCGCATGGTAGGTACCTGATAAATATTGGTAAGAGGATAAAATTTGAAGTCAAACGGGGCAACCGATTTTCTCACAACTACACATCAGGTTCTCAGTGGAGGTTTGGATGGCTGATGGAATTACGACTCTGCAGATCATGAGTGTGTCTTTGGCCTGTTGAACTTGTGCTGCTTGAAGTTAAAGAAGTGTATCTATCATCAGAATGGAAACCACTTAGGCCCCTACAAGGTCCTTGTGGGCAATAGGGAGGAATTTCAGTTACAGTCATATCCTGGAAGCTTTGGCATACATAGTCAGGAAAGGGGGTCACGTAGAATAGTTGTGTCCTCCATTGCCTTTGGCCTAGGGGAGTCAGGGGCTTATTCAACTGTTCCTAAGTCAGTGCATTTTCCTTCTCTCCTTGGCCTCCTAGAGAATTGGGATCAGCATGTGACCTTTGCCTGGAAGGGAGGATCCTGGTGCAGTATGCCTTCAACGCCTCCTCCCCGATGCCCTGTGGCCCATCCGGACACTGGAGTCCGCGGGAAGCAGAAGGTGAGCCAGCCTGGAAGCTCACTGACAGGTTGGGTGTGAGAAGAACAACTCTTTCGGTCCATCTGGAGTGTTATGATTCCAATGATCTTTTCTACATACCATCTCCTTGGATCTTAGATTGCCCTGCAAGACCAGTATTTTTAAGTTGTAACACATTTGTCTTTTTTTCCAGCTTGATTGAGATGCAATTGACATAAAACATTGTGTAAGTTTCAGGTGTACGGCATGATTTGATACATGTATATTACAAAGTTGGTTAACGCATGCATGACCTCACCTACTTTACCTTTTATTGTACCAGAACATTGAAGAGCTACTCTCAACAACAGTAGAGTATGGCTAACTATAGTCACCATGCTGCAGAGGAGAACCTCAGAACCTTTTCATTTTCCAACTGGAAGTTCATACCCTTTGCCCAACATGAAGGCCAATGTACATGCCTTCATTTAGCACGTGTCCTTTGAGTATCTGCCTTGCCCTACATATATCATCCCCCTTTACATATAAGGAAACAAAGGAAACAAAGGCACTGAGATATTAAATAAGTGCCAAGGCCACACACCTGACAAAGACATACATGTATGCATCTGTATTTACCTCCAGACTCTGACAGGCTGCAGGTACACAGATAAGGTCACCTGAGGATCAATACACATGTGGGGGCTTCAAGACATGAGTATCTTTGATTCTTACTTCTTTCTGGGAATATCCAGGGCATTATCACATGTGTCATGACTTTTCCTTTCAGTTTCCCCTTTTTGGGATCCATTGATCTGCAAGACCCTTGAGGGAAGCATCTCATGGTTGCCCTGTTATGGGCTCCACCCATGACCAGACCCTTCCCTGCTTAGGGGGAGTCTCCCAAGCCTCCCAGTGGCTAGTGATCTCTATGTTCCTACAGTATCCTTCGCTGCCAGATTAGCTTGGTTTTCCATGAAAATTAAGAGTGCCTTTTGCTCAATGTTTTGTTACACTGTGTCTCTGAAGCAAGGCTACTTGGACCTGAGACTCTGGGACTATTGTCTATTCCATTTCCTTCTGCTGTATCTGTTGCCTAGGGCTCAGCTCTAGTTGCTAAGCCAGGCTGAGAGACAGGGACCTGCTATTCTCTTCTCAGGCAGTGCCTCAGCCTCCCTCACAGACATACACTGAGAACACCCCCACACCCAGTCCCGTTGCTCCATCAGGTCAGCTCAGGCCAGCCGTCCCAGGATGGGGACACCCATCCCTCAGAGGGAGCAGAATCTGGTTCCTCATTGAGGTTCAGTGAGAACGCCTCTGTCTTCCTCTATATTTAGAGAAAGAAGGTTGAAAGAAAAAGGCAGAGGGAACAGAGAGGCAAGTGAAGGAGAAAAATGACAACACTACACTTAATCTTCTGAAGTAGCTTAAAATAAAAATGAGAGTCGAACTCAGGAACTCTAAACAAGCCCATCTGGAATGTGAAGCGAGAGGGATTCTGGAGAAACCCTCAGCTCACCCTCGCGGAGTCACAGGCCCTCAGGCATGGAAGGGATGCTCGGGGGTCACCCAGCGGGGTTCTCACGCGGTGCAGGAAGCCCTGGCGCCCTCCCTCACGGAGGCTGTTCTCACACCAGGCTGTCCTTGCACCAGTATTTCTTGGCCTTCCTGTTCCAGCTCCATTTGTTAGAAAGTCCTTCCTGAAATGGGCAGTCGAGACTTTTCCCCCAAACCTAAGCCATGTTGGGTTCTCACAGGAGAAAGTGTATGTCTCTGGTCAGACAGCACTTTGTGTGCCCACAGAGAGTAAACCGTCTCATCTATAACCATGGCAGGGCCTGTATGCCAGGCTCTGGGCGGGCACGTGGGCAAGGCTGAGCCAACCGTAATAGCGGAGAGTCAGAGAAGTAGATGGACGATCACCATCCGGGGTGATGAGACCTGTGCTAATAGAAGTAAGGAGCACTCGTGGGTGAGGGGGCAGGAAAAAGGGGAGCTCCCCCAGAACCGAAACTCAGGCTTATTGGGAAATGTCACCGTACCAGCAAGCAAGGTGCATTGGAGAACGTGAAAGACATTTGGTATCCTTGAATCCATGGTTTCCACCTGGGATCTGGAGTCTTAGGTCATTAGGGTTCCTCAAAGCCTACAATGATTTTCATAATAATACATGACATGGTTTACCTTTTTCACTCTCACTCTCTCCTGAGAGTGTCATAGCGCTTTCCGGCAGCTCTGTGGAATGTGATGTTATTACTGCTCTGATAGCCTGTGGAACACATGCTTGTGTGTTCTTTAAAGTTTCTCAGCTTTAATTGATGGTACGGTAACTGCTAACGGACATGACCCACCTGAATGAGAGCTCCGCAGTGAGGCTAGAAGAGCTTAAATGGATTTAGAACGCAAAGAGCAAGGTGTGGAGTGGGGAGAGGTGGGGCTGGGTGAGGTATATACCGCCTGGAAGAGGAGTGGTTCCGGTTTATGCTGAGGGCAGGAAGGAGACACCACCACATGCCTTGGCAAGGGTCTGGGATCCAGTGAGATGCACATGTTATAAAGATTGCTGGGTTCCTCTAGAGCAGAGAGTGGGGTCCTGGGGAGCATGCTGGAGGAAAGGGAATGGCGCATGGGTGGTGCAGGAATCCAGGAGAAGTGCGGTGGTGGCTGGATGAGGTCGGTGGCAGGGAGAATGGAGAGAGGTCAGTGAGAGATGTTTGGGAGGTAGGGTCAGCAAACTCTTTCCTGCCACTTCTTTGGCTAAAATCATCTTGATTTGTTCTACCATTTGTGTGAATGAAATAATTTCCAGACATCCCCACACACCTCCATATAGCCCAACTGTCGATTGGTTCCAGCTGTTCCTGGTTTTTCTCTGACCCTCTTAAAGCCTGACATGCAGAAATGGGTTCAGGGGAAACGTCAAGCCCCTTGGTTCCCTGAGCTGACTCCGGCCTGAAAGAAACCCCAGCAACCTCAGGCTTCCTTCAGGATACGTAAATCCAGTGCAGGTAGGCCAGGGAAAGACACTGTGCTTTTTTTAGAGCATCCCATTACAGGCTCTGTGATCCTTTGGCTCAGACTCTTTTTAATATCCTTGAAGAAATAAACTTTTCCATGAGCCAAACTCTGTAATTTATTTCTCAACTCATTTTCATCCTATTTATCTTTGCGTGTTTAAGTTTGTGGACTTCCCAAACTAACAGAAAACTCTGAAACCCATGAGCGATGCCAGCCGTATCTTTGGGACTGGGGAAAGAGCAGGGCGTCAGAGTGGAGCGGGGTAGAGGACTGACCTTGGCTCCAACCTGTCCATCAACGTGCTCTGTGCCCATGAGTGAGCCACGGAGCTTCTTTGGAGATAGCGTTCTATCCACAGAATGAATGTCCTTTCCAGCTCCAACATTCCAAGCAGTTGTAATTCATTTATTTTAAATCCATTTGAGCAAGACAGAAGGTTCCTCATTTAAACATATTTATTGACTATCTAACGTGTTATCAACTCCATTCTTTGAACTTCAGGTAAATACAGTCACAGGAATTCTTGCCTTTGCCCACAGAAAGTGGTTGTAGTCAAAAGAAACCCCATTTTCCTATCTCTTTAGTAAAAACTATATTTCATAGATAAATTTCTTCTGAGGTATTCAAGACCACACTACATTTATAGCCCAGGAGTTAACTAGCCAGATCTGACGGCCTGAAATCCCATTAAGATCACTTACGCAAGCGTATAATACATTACAAGCCTTGGGTTTTCTATGAGAGATTAACACATGGCACTGTTTTCTTTTCTTTTTATTTGCATGAGTCTTTCCCCCTTTTTCTGCCTAGAATATTTCAGGTGCACTGAAGTATTCATCTGGAAAAAACTTGGCTCCAAGTTTTTATAACCATATTTGTGTCAACAGCTGCAGTGTATATGCACATAAATATAGAATAGATGTCTGTATAGATCTTCATAAGTGTAAATTTAAATCAGCATAACTATGTATAAATATAATTTACACACATATTTGGCCTCACTCCTAGTGGCCAGCTTATATAAGCATTGACTTTTCATTTAGTCGCCATATACATAAAAGGCTATATATTAATAATGAAGTAATGGTACCTTTGTGCTTTTCTCCCTCCCCCTCCCCCTTTCCCTCTCTCCCTCTATTCCTCCCTCCCTCCTATCCTTTCTTCATTCCTTAGTTTCTTTCCTTGTCTCAGCTTTTCTCCCTGCCTCACCACCATACATGCAATCAACTTTCCCATCTGTGTGCATTTTTCTCCTTATGACTCAGGTTTTTCCTCATTTGCTGTGATGTTCTCTTTCTCCAAGGCACAGCTATGCATTCATTGCTGCTTTAGTACAGACGTCTGCTAACTGACCACTAGACTGAAAGCTCCGTGAGGGCAGAGACCATGTCTTTAGAAATCTGCTTTCTCTGGGACTAGCCAACCCTGACACAAACCAGGCTGTCAACAATTAATCTTTGAATACTTGGATGGATGGATGGATGGATGGATAGATGGACGAATGGATGGATAGATGGGTGGATGGATAGATGGATGGATGTGTGGATGGTGGGTAAACGGGTGGATGGATGGGTGAAAAATGGATAAATAGTATCTATCTCTAAAGAGTGGTTTTCCCAAAAGACAACTTTCATTTGTTTAAAATCCTTCAGTGGCTCCCATCTCTCTCAATATGAAGTCCATCCCCTTAAAGTGACATGTGAGACCCTTTGTCACCTGGATTCTACTTACTTTGCCAGCCTGACCACTTGCTGCTCTCCTGTTGCTCTCAAAACCATAGTCATCTGGACGCACATTCTCTATCCACTGTTCTCTTGGTTTGGAATGCTGCCCCATCTTGAGTTTTTCCTTGTTAATTCCTCCTTACTTGTGAGACCAGAGCTAATTACACACACACACACACACACACACACACACACACACACACGTGCATCTATTAAATATTTGATCCCATTTGAGTTTCACAGAAACCCTGTGAGGTAGTATTACAGTAGGTGACACAATGTGAAGCTGGATAGCTGATATTTTAACCCAATTTTCATGGCTTCAAAGCTTGGCATGTTGCCCAGACTGACAGTTATCACAGAATATTCTACTCCCCATCAGGGAATTACTTAACCATCAGAGTCTCAGTTTCCTCTTCTTTAAAATGAGTTTCATAAGACCTGCATCATACACTTATTTCCAGGATGAAAAGAGCTGAGATATGTAACGTGCTCGGCACCATTCCTGGCACATAGAAGGTGATCAATTCACGAAGCATGGTGTTATCAAAGGGATTGCTGCTTTGGTGATGGGTTGGACTCGGGGACGCTTGAGGCTCTTTTTGACTTCTAAAAGTTTGTCTCTGATAACTAGACAAGCAGAAACCTTGCTAAGATTTCTATTTCTAACACACTCGGGCATAACAAATGACCAGGCTCACCTTTCTGTCCTTTGGAAAAGCATTTGGCCCCTCTGTTGATTAACAAGAAACCAGAGAGAAAGCCTGAGCCAAACAGGTTTGTCATCTTTGCTCTCCTGTGGCTCCCCACCACCGATAGTGGTTTTCTCTAAGGAAGGAAGAAAGACTGCTCCATCCCTTGCCAATTCCAGGAGAAAGCCCATGGAGTGAGTGGAATGTTCACCTGGCACTCACCCTCCTGCAGGAGGCTCCTGTAGTCCATGGGCATTCACTGCTTCCTTAACTTTACCAAGAGAGAAGATTCTTTCTGTAACATATATGTACTAAGTATTCACTATGCTCACAATCTTTGGACCAGGCCCTGTTTTATGCAAAGGCTGTATTGTATTGAATGAAACAGAGCTACAAAAATGATAAGGATCCTGCAGGATTTTGGTGATGAGCAGGTGAATTAATTAATGTCTGTGGAATGTGCTTAATATATATATATATATAAATGCTACCCTCAATAAAGCTTTTTGAATGAATAAGTGACATATGTGTGCCAACAACCCACAAAGTCAAGAGAATCAGGAACTCAGTGGGATGAAGTGGAGATGGCAAGAAAGGCTTCAGCGTAGGTGGTGCCTTTGACGTAAATAACTGATTGCTTCTAGCCAGCACTTGCTGCAACAGATGAATGAACCTAGCCAAGGAAGAGTGGAGGAAATCTTAGAGCTGTGTCCATCTCTCCTTGCTCTCACGTGTTATATTTAAAAAGGTTTTTATGCATTTTCCTTGTTCCCCTCTTTCTGCTCTTTTTCTCTTCTCCATTCCCACCTGGTGTTTTCTCTCTTCTCACTTGGTGGCATGACACAAGGAGATTGAAGGCAAGTGCAGCCTTCACTGGAATGGCTTCTCCACCCCAGATGACTTTCTGTTTTTCATATCGTGGTGATTCCTGTTACGCTGTAACAGCATCCCCACCCTCCACCAACCACTGATGCTAAAGGGAGGAAAATGTGACAGAACAGCTTAAAGTCCTCCATCCTACCCTCACTAACTGATCTATATCTCTTGCTACACTCCCTTAAACAATCACTACATTTTGAGCCCTGATTGCTATTCTCAGCTGAGTAAAGGAGAGCTCTGTGAGGGTCTAGGACTAATGATCTCAGTGGAGAAAAATTCAGAAGTCGATGCAGTCTGAGATCACTGGGGATGAGGCATTGTCTCCAAGAGGAAAGAGCAGAAGAATCCCTCCTTCCTTCTCCTAGCTCCTCACCCAGCCCTCCCCTTTTTGAATCAGACTGGTCAGAGCATGGAGAAGCTCAGTGGTATGGGATGACCTCATATAGAGAAGGGGAGGAGGAGAGATAAGATGGCTCCAGGGATGCCTTCCAGCTTTGTCATTTATGGTTCTAGACAGTTTCCTCCCAGAATCCTCAGTCCAAGGGGCAGAAGCTATCTGCACTCATCTCTTTGCTGAAGGTTTCTGACCCTTCTGTCACACTAAGCAGCTTGCATCAAAGGCAACACCATGAGGAACCTAGTTTATTTTAGTGCCCCCTGCATCCAGTAGCGAAAACAATGAGTATGAACTTCCAGAAGAGCCAACACCTGCTTCCAGTGCTGACCTTTACACTTTAAGCTGTGAGACTAGAGTCATTTCACTCTACATCTGCTCACCTCTGAAATGAGTTAAACAAGTTTATGGGACGTAGTAGGTGTTTGATAAATATGTGTCCCTTTCTTCTTTCCATCCTAGCCACAAAGCCTACATGTGGCAGATTAGGAAGGAAACTTTGGGCATTAATTAAATAGTAAGACACTTATTTGAATATAGTCTTGACCAAGTGTCTGGTGATGCACGTAAGATCTCTGTGGCAGTCATGGGGATGAGCTGGACACAAGACAGACAGCTGATTCACCAAAACACTGAGAATCTTCCCTTTCTTTTTCCCTCCATCTGAGTTCTAGTCAGGCCAACCTCTTCGGAGTCTACAGGAAACTCCAAGGATCAGACTGAAGGTCTGTCAAAAACTCATATCCTCATCTCTTCTCCATAGGCCATCCAGATGTTGAACAACCCTGTAAGTCCAGTGTCCGCACCTGGAGCCCCAATTCAGCTGTCAACCCACACACGGTCCCGCCAGCCTGCCCTGAGCCACAAGGCTGCTACCTTGAACTGGAATTTCACTATCCTTTGGTTCCTGAGTCTCTGACGGTCTGGGTGACCTTTGTCTCCACTGACTGGGACTCTAGTGGGGCTGTCAATGACATCAAACTGTTGACAACCACGGGGAAGAACATCTCCTTGGGCCCTCAGAACGTATTCTGCGATGTTCCACTGACCATCAAACTCCGGGATGTGGGCGAGGAGGTATATGGCATTCAGATCTACACGTTGGATGAGCACCTGGAGATTGATGCTGCCATGTTGACCTCCATTGCAGACAGCCCACTCTGCCTAGCATGTAAGCCCCTGCAGTACAAAGTGGTCCGGGACCCTCCTCTCCAGGTGGACGTGGCCTCCATCCTGCATCTCAATAGAAGATTCACAGACATGTAAGTGCACTTTCTGGATAAGGAGAGGACCAAGTGGGTGGGGTATGGAAGGAAAAAAAGGAGAGTCGGAGAGGCCTGGATTAAAACAAGGTTCATCTCAGCCAGACTCACTTCTAGGGCTTTATAATAATGTGGCATTGTGTATAGAATTGTCTTAACAAGGCAGAACTGATACGGTGGGAAGAGCAGGGATAAGGAACGAGGAGACTTGGATTTTGCTGATAGCTCCAAGTGTGACTCTAAGCATCCCAGTCTTTCGGAAACTTGGTTTTCCCAACAGTTGGTTGGGATTAGCAGTGAGGAAGTCATTTATTACTAATGAAAGTAGAATAATTGAAGTTTGATGATGATTTCTATGTTTCACTGAAGAATATTCATGCATTCTGGTTACTTCTTCAGTGTGTGAGATGAAGGTGAACTTGGCTGGGAATTGACCATGTTCCTGGGTATTTGTATGAGAATTTTGATGGAAGGTAAACATCACCAGTCATGGTCCTTGATTTGTTTTCTTTTTTTGAAGTGGAACACTGGTCCAAACCCATTTAATTCATACGTGCCCTTGCAGATCTAGGTCTCCATAATTCTTACTTAGTGTTTCTCCTGAATATAGTATATATCTCAAGCTTCCTCTCTAGTACACCTTCTTCAAACATCATCAGGATTTATATTTTACACAAGAGGTCACATTATAATGCAGTCATTCGTGTTTTTCCTATGTGCCAAACAATGGTCTAAGGTGTTTACATCTTTTACTTGTTTCATCCTCTCTACATCCACAGCCCTATTATCCTGCCCCTTTTACAAAGAAGAAAACAGCAGCTTAGAGACGTGAAGTCATGTGTCCAGAATCGCACGGTTAGGAAGTAGTGAGATCAGGATTGGCATTCCACCTTGACTCCCAAGCCAGAGCACTCAGCCATTGTTCAGTTAATGATGTGATTCCAACTTCTGCTTTAACCTCACCAATGAGGGAGCCTTGGCCACCTAATTTGAGTACCAAGACTCTATGAAGTCAATCAGCAAACATTTGTTGAATGTTTATGACATGCGATGGATGTTGGTAGGGAACACTTTGAGTCTTGGAAAGAACAATAGCTCGGGAGTCAGACGCCTTGTGTTTGGTCCCAGCCAGTCCACTTACTGACGAAAGATAAATCAGTCAGTTTCGTTGAGCCTCAATTTCCTCCTCTGTGTGATGAAAATGTTGGAGTCCATGGTTTCTATGGGTCTTTTGTGGCTCTTTCTTTGATTGTAAGATGATATAAGAGACAATCTGTGCTCTGTCTACTTGAAAATATTTATGAAGCCAATCATTAATAGAAACCAAGTTCTGGAGGAAACTTTTAATCTTTTTAAGAGTCAGAACCACTTTCAAACTCTTTACCAGCACTTCCTTTTACATGCCAGCAATTAACGTGCACATCACAAGCAAACCCTTGCCCATTCATTGACTCGGAGATGAAGAACATCTGTTTAAGAACTCAGAGGGAGCACTTGGTTTGTGTTTGGGAATGGACTTAAAATGTAAAGAATCATCCTGCCTTGAAAAGATTCCATAACCCCGTCTCTGCCATCTCCTCACTTGTCTAGAGTAGTAAAAGCTCCATAAATATGCATCCATTTAAAAATTCTTTACAAAACAATGGGGGTAATAAATAATAGATGCCTTAAAACCTCATTTTAAACATGGCTTTTATTTCTTGCCTCAAATTGTGAGCAAGGGAGAGCGACACGGGCGCTAAGTGTGAAATGGTGGAAGTTAGACTGAAGAAGTGAAAGCACCTGAGTTCTACTTTTAGCGAGGTCACTAACCCGCTCTGCAATCTTAGTCTAGTCACTTACTCCTTCTGGTCTTCAGAGGCCTCTTCTACAAGGAGGAGCTTGCACTAGATTATTCGTGTTCAGACTCAGTTGCACAGCATGAAAACTTGAGAAATTTTTAAATTTCTCACTATCCAGGCCCACGTTCTTGTGCGCCATTTGTTCTTTCACTCAACAAATAACTCTCTCGTCCCTAATGTGTGACAAGAACAAGAGCCGGTGTTCGCTGGCCTTTCTCTTTGCTTTCTTGAGTCCCAAGGAATTTACTGGAGAACTGGGCTTCCTGACGTGAATGTTCTCTGAGACTCTGAACAAAGTAAAACATCATTCCAAGTCAGCCTTCCATTTCAACTTCGTTATCTCTTAGTAATGCAAGTTCTGAACTCCAACACAAATACCTCTGTGTGTCTCTGCATGTGTGCGTATTTGACTGCTTTCACATTTTTTCCATATCAAATAAATTGGCTCATGGACAAGTTCTATATAAAGACTGTTTTGGAGAAAAAGGGGAGAGAGGAAAAAATGCCTTTTATTTTCCTTCCCCAACTCAACCCATTACATGATCCCCTTTGACCTTTGTCTTCATTTTTTTCTCTCAGCAAAAATATTTATTCTTTCTGTTATCTATCCTGGAAATAGTTTCCCAAGGTATGACATTGATGGAGGGAAGGGCTTCTGAGCTTACCCTATAGATGCTTCCAGTAGACTGATTACTTTTGGCCAGGATGAGGAAGAAATGCAGAACATCTCCCTTAAGTGGAAACCCCTTCATTGAATGAGAAGTGACACTAGCAGAGGAAAAGAGGACCAGCGCCAACTCTGCTACTAATTTACCATGTGACATTAAGACACATTGCGTCACTTATTTAGGCTTCAATTTCCCTGTGTGTAAAATTGGGGGAAAACACATTATGCAATTCTGTGTGGATAGATGTTGTTCTTAGGTGACAGGTGACTCATTTACCCTCTTTTTTATTTTCTTTCTTTTTTCCTCCTTTTTTTCTTTTTTTTAAGTAAAAGGGATTCGGCAGAGATTGTCTATAAGATCAGTACCTGGAGTGGATCTGACTGGTTCCAATGCCCTAGTGAAATGTGTGGTGTGTGGACAATAATCATGCTGCTAATAATGACTACTTACTGAATACTCACCGTTTAAGTGCCTTACAAATATTTATGAGGCAGGTGAAGCTCAGAGAAAAATCTAGAGCTCAGAAAATGTACTCATCCAGCTTACCACAGCTGGCAATGGCAGAGCTGGTCTCATTCCAAATTCCCCTTTCTCAACCACAACGCCTCCTGCTGTAATAATGCAGAGGCAGACCTCTAGAGCTCAGACACGCATCCAAGCTGGCTGAAGTTCAATGTTCAGCAAGTAGAAGACATGCTTACAACTCGCAGGCCTTTAGCCCACAGTCCATTCCTGTGACCCAGTCTTGGAGCCCAGCAACACAAGTTACACAGCCAGTTCTTCGTGCGTGTGGCTGGGAACAAAGAAGGGAGGCTTCTGTTTCTCAACTTGACTGTCATTTTGACTTGCTTTGAATTGCTTCTGCACCGGGCACCGTGCTGCTTGGGTCTGTATGAAATCTTCAGATTTCTCTCTAAGAAGTAAAAACTTGATAAAACTAAGCCCCCCGCCCCCTTTTTGTTTGGCTTAGGGTAAGTCAGGTGTAAGGCAAAGCAGGAACAGTGAATAGCAGCTCACTATCATTTATCTATTCATCTGCCCATCCATTCACCATCAATTCATTCAGCAAATAGTTACGGGTGTCTATCACCATGGAACTAGGAATAGAGTCCTGATCTCTGGCCTCATGAGCACACAGTTGAAAGGTGGAAATAGGTAAGGAATCCAGTGATTATACTGCAGCATGAAAGATGCTATAGTGTGAGGAGTACAAGGAAAACATAGGAAGGGTATCTAACCCAGTTTGAGGTGGCTAAAGAAGGTTTCTTGGAAGAAGTGCTGTATAAGCTAAGAACTGATGGATGAGTAAGAGTTGATCCTTGAAGAGACTTGCCACAATTCCATGATTAAAACCAAGTGGATGCTCAGCAAACATTGGTAAATGAATGAATGAACAAATAAATGAATGAAGCAACATACTATATTTCATAGCAAAAATGGCTGTTCAATTTCAGAACAAATGTAGTTTTGAGGAAGGGAAATGTAATAGTCTGGACTATTGATCACTTTGGTTCTTAAATCTACTTCTTTTTAACTGCTGTATAGTATTCCCTATTAGGAATAACTGTACTCCTAATGCTAGGCAATGAGTATTTCACACATTTTTCTATTGCAAACAAATGCTGCAGCAAGAGCTCTTGTATTAACCTCCTCATGGGCATATGTGAGCATTTTTCCAGACTGATGCTGAGAAGTGGAACTGCTGGGTTATAAACCATGACCTTTTTCATTTCAGTGGATACAACCAATGGCTTTCTGAGAGAGTCACTGAACTCATATTCCAACAGCAGTTGGTAGTGGGACCTTATGTTCTGCATTGTCACTACGATTTGACAAAATGAAAGTGCTTTGTCTTTGGGCATTTGATGTTCTCATTGATGTTCTTGTGATGAACATCTTGAGTGAGCATCTTTCAATTATTTTAACATCTCTTACGTAACTTGCTAAGAATATCTTTCATTTATGTTTGGTTGTTCATCTCTTTATACCTTGGTTTTGCCATCTGTTAAATTAGGATTTTAATGCCCCCCCCACCCCAGGACAGAGGCGCAGCATCAGGAGTCAGAGCTGTTTCTCCAAGCCCGGATACCTCTGCTCCTAGCCCAGGCTGGCAGAGTATAGAGTCAGCACAATCTTACTCTATTTCTGGAAGCTGGGCATCATCCACCTGTAACTCCCTCTCCTCAGTCTGAGGCCAAGTACCTCTCAGGATGAAATACTGGTTCTGAGAACACTCAGGTTTTGCAAAATCAACAGATCTCCAGATTCAGCAGCAGCCATAGAAGTGCTGACTGTCGCCAGTTACCTTCACTATTTTGAAAGTGTGAAACATCCATTTGATGCTAGCACCACTGAAATCATTTATCCTAAAAATGTCTCTGTATCAGTCTGATGCACTGCCAAACTTTATAGCAAGTGGGCCATTACAGATGTTAAATAAGACATAGAAGAGAAATGATAGACCTGAGGCTCTGTTGATAAATTCTTTCTC